AGGTTTAAAATGATAGAAAATTATTTGTGTGCACTGTTCAGAGAGCAGAACAGTGCACACAAATAATTGTGTGCATAAACAAATATACCCTTCTCCACCAATATCACTGTGAGGGACATATTTAACTTTTCAGGGACCTGAAAGCATGAGGCTCGTTCAGGTTTGGAGGTAGAAGCAGCTTTTGGAATTAAAGTGTCCACCTTTAGCAGCCGGAGAGAAGACCTTTGGCACAGTTTGTAATGCTGTTGACCATGAACTGTGGACTCCACGTTTAGTCTCAGCGAGTAATGAATACAAACCAGACCTACTGCCATCACACTCACGAAAGCTGGGTAGGTTTTAAATTGTAAACATGAACTACAGCAATTTGACTTTACTTCGGCTAACTTAGCTAGCTAGCCTTTCAAAGTGTACTGACAGCTATGACACAGGGGTTTTTTTAGACCTTTGGACACAGCATGAGCACAAATAAGCCCGACAGTCCCCAACACCTCGGATTTTGATCCAACTGTCCCAATGAGAGCAGAAAAGTCCCAGCTTAAGGTTTTAGGTGGACCGCACTGAAAGAACCGAAATCTTGGTTTAGGTAATCGTGCTAGCCTCTCCGCTACACAGCGCCGTTTCTCGCTGTTTTACAGAGCAGCAGGGTGATAAACTGCTAAAAAATAAAGTAAGATTACCTTAGTCATGCCAACTCCTATGACAAATACTCTGTTCTTCTTTCCAGGTGCCATGGTGCTTCTCTGAGTCCACTCACACAAGTGACGTGAAAATCCGTGAACACGGCGTAGTAACTGGGACATAAACGATCTTCAGCGTGGTGGCTCCTGATGTGACCAATGAGAGCCCGCGGTGAGGAACATAAACACGGAGAGAAGCGGGCCTGACAGCAGCGGGTACAGCAAAGATCGTCTATGCACAAGTAGGTGTGTCACTCTGTGGGAATACAATACCATTAGTAATAAGTTAGAATAAAGCTTTTAAACATCTAAACAAAAGCGACTTTTCTATAAATATGCGTCCTCAAACATAACGTCCACCAGATTGATAGCACTGCATATATATACAACTACCATGAGGTTTTTTTATGGTTACATATTGGAAGTTTAAGAACTCACAAGCCTGTGTCCCCTGTGATCATTTGACCTTTATCGTTTGCGTTATCTGATTACTTTTTGTAAGGCATTGTCGGACTAAATTGTTATGCTATGTTGCTATATCGTTATGCCAAAAAGTCATTTCCGATATTTAAACCGTTGTAAATGACTTTTTGGCCTATAGTCCATCAAATATCCCTCTCATGTTTAATAACAAGTTATTTTGAGCTACATCCTGTCACAAGGTAGAAACTGGAGTTTTTCCACAAACTAATGCTTATATATCCTTTATTTATGCACGGTAAAATGTGTCACTGATCTTAAATATGTCTTTTTAAGAGCGATGTGCAGAAACAAATATATCACAATTCTACAGTTATTTTAAGTGGTCAAAAGGGTTATATCAATGCAAAGTCATAACGATGCTTGCAAAAAGGTCTTTTTTAAAATCTTATATTTAACCCCTTTAGAAATCCTGTTGACTACAACCTATTTACAGACATAAGCAAAGACGTTAGACGTAAAAAACACAAACATCAGTTTTTGACACAAAGCAGCCTTATAGTTAGGTTTGTTTTACTTTTACATATCTAGATAAGTCACTTTAAGGGTAGCTTTTTATTATTTCAAAAGTATACGCATGTGCAGATATTAAGTAGCAACTGTTCACACTGAACCACGCGTCTACTGTGAGATAAATCCTGACAGGAGAAATTAGTTGGAAGTTTGCAGCACTCTGCAGGTACAGTAAGACCTCTTCAGTGACTGATACTTTCTTTTGATAAATTCACCCACAATGGGTCCTTGTCTCAATCTGTATTGTCTATAAAGTCCAATTTAACACAAGAAAAGGATTTGTATGTTTTCCCGGGAGGAGGCCCCGGGGCAGACCCAGGACACGCTGGAGAGATTATATCTCTCGGCTGGCCTGGGAACGCCTTGGTGTTCCCCCGGACAAGCTGGAGGAGGTGGCTGGGGAGAGGGAGGTCTGGGCTTCTCTGCTTGGGCTGCTGCCCCCGCGACCCGGCCCCGGATAAGCGGAAGAAAATGGATGGATGGGATGGATGTTTTTCAAGTAGAGTTGCGTCTTAATTTAATTCCCAAGGTTTAACGTTACTTGTCTTTTTATTTAACTCTGAAGTGAGTCATACATAATTATCTCTTAATTACACAAAATGTGTGGAGGACATTTCAAAGTGTATTCTCCATTAGCATCTTTAGCATATAATGTGACATACCTCATACTACACATCGTCAGTCTTGTATTACTGTTTGAGGAGCAAAAGCAAAGAAAAACCTCAATTCAAAATGTTCATCCTTCATTTTTATTGAGGGACTGAAAAAAAAAACAAAAAAAAAAAAACATCCTCTTAGTATGTTGATCAATCCAAGACACGTGTACAACAACCTGTTGCCTTAATCCGCACACCTTAATGTTCGTCGTCAACCAAAGCGCCGATCACATCTCCGTGTCGAGGCATTCCCCGTCGCCAGGAATTGGGGCAGAGGAAGTTTTCCTGCAGTGTTCCTCTAAGGCTCAATGCATGGTGATATCAGCACTTGATGAACTGGTGTGTGACCTCATATATCCCCACAGACTCACTAATTTTCTCATCGTAGTCGGTCCAGTCCTGAAATGTTTTTGTTTTTAAAAACATGAGCGAGAGAAAGAACTGTAGGGATTATTTTCAGATAAAGTGCAGTGATTTTCACGAGTTCAGTGAAGATAAATGAAAGAGCGCACTACCACAGGAAATCAATCACATATCAGTGAATTGTATCCTGCTGTGCTAAACAAACAGCTGAAAGTCTGCTAAAGGTCAAGTTTACTTTCTCGCAGTGAGCGATTTAATTTCTCCTGTGCTTACTTTTTCTAGCAGGTTGATTTCAGGAAACGGCGTTCCAGACTCGGCTCCTTCTGCAGCAAAGCCAGCCTGGAGGAGGGTATTACAACAAGTCAAAGTCACACCATTATCACAGTGTTACCTAGAACACACTACCAGATTGCATAGATAGCATCAGCTTCATTACATAACATAAAAGATAGAGCGAAAGAGGTTCTTGCAGGGTTGAACCCTGACACACTGTCACAGGCAAACAGCACTGGTGTGCTGGACATGTGCTCTACAAAGCAAGCCCAGATTTGGCCGATTACCCTCTCCAAATGTTTATGACATCAAATATTGTAACCTCAACTTTTTTTATTACATTGTTGTAATAAACGGGCAAAAAGGTGATCCATCAAAAACCTTTTTTCATACAGGATAAAAATGAACCGACATCAACTAACATCTGGATGACAGTTCTTGTGGAGAGTGGCTCTGGCTTCATGGATGATGACACAATCTGGGTTTTATCTCCTCCAGTTCATATGGACAGTTGTGGAAATAGGACAACAAAGATTCTCACTTGTGGCTGGAAATCAACGGGCTCCAGGCCTCGACACTCGAACTGCACCATCGTCTTGAAGGTTTCGCTGTTCTCGGCCTTCAACCCAGCAGACACGACGCAACATTAGAGAAAGAGAAACTGAAAAACCTGAGAACTGACCGTGGACGTTTGCTTACATTGTAAGGTGTGATTGTGTCTCCCAGAATATCTGTAAGGAAAAAGTTGACATTTTGTAAGCTTTTAACTCTGCAAATTAAGACAAGATGAGCCGGACGTCATGTCACGGCCTACCGATGGAATTTTCCCTGGAACAGAGTTTACACTTCTGCACCATGCTGGCGCTTCCTCGTCCTCCCTTGAGTGGCACACTCTCCTGTGAAGGCAAACACAAAGTACAGGTGGTATATTATATACGTGCAATTCTATAATAATAATAATAATAATAATAATGTTAAACTGAATAGAAAAATTGCCCTTTCTTCCTTACCACCAGAGTTACATACTGCCATTTATCTGGAATTTCTCCACAGTTTCCACACTTGAGCTAAATTTAAGGCAAAACAAACAAGAAACACATAAATGATCTTTTAAAAAATAATGTTTACATGTTTCATTATTTAGTGAGTATGTGTCAGCATTACACATGGTTAAATTAAGGAAATGATCAAAGATTAGCAGAGAGGAAAAGTGCATGATATTTTATTATGGATGAAAACAGTTTAGCATGTTAGCTTCTCATACCTTCAGGAACCAGCGGAAGTCGTCCCCCAATGGTCTAACATTGGTGACGTTCTCCAGGGTGGCTTTAAACTGCAGTCCAAATTTCTGCCATGCACAGGACAGAATAGGTGGTTAAAACTAACATAATAACAGCAGAAATTACCCCAGAGACACGCAGCAGCAGTACGTACCACCATCTTGAAGCTTCCCCGCTGACAACTTCCTGAGGCATTCAGGACACCTCGTAAATTCTAACTTCCAAACCACTGACAGCTATTTTAAATTTTGCATTTTTTTCAGTTCATCTCAAAAACAATCATAAGATAGAAATAAATAGTCGTTACAGGAATGAATGCACCATGCTTGCAGGTGACTAATAACTAAAAATAAGTAATCTTTTATTACGTATCTGCTCATTTTGTTGCCTAAATGAGGCATTTCAGCTGTTTCTACTAAAACTTTGCATAAATCTCAATTCCAAAATCTTTCGGCTCTGATGGCCGTCAAAATTTCTTCAGAACTATATCAAAAATAATATCAAAGTACATTTTATTAAATCACCAATGCTAAAGCAGGACGGACGTGCGCCATCTAGCGGATGTACCAAATACAACATGAACTGTTTCTCTGTGAAATGCATTTAAATTGGTAAAATAATCACAAAGCTACAAAAACCGCATCAGTTTATTAACCGTTCAGATATAAATCACCAAACAAATCATTATCAAGTCATCATACAGTACAAATCTTATGGTACAAATTATTAAATTAAGCACATTAAAAAATGGATCCAGCTGTTTGTTTTTTGTTTCTTTATTGTAACCTTTTCATTGTGGAAACTGCAAGTGTGAATACTTACTAGACATTTTAACCTGAGGCATCTTCACAGAGGCATTGTGGTGGATCTTGGTGGTTAATGGCCACACACCTGGGATAAGTGATATTGCTGTACCTGGCATTTCAAATCCATTGGTATCAACCTGAGTATATACATGCCAGCTCGAACTTGACAACTTATTTGTCCATGTGAACGTGAGCAAATTGTAGAAGAGGGAGGAGTATAGAAAAGCAATTCACAGATTTGAACACTTTGCTC